GATGGTGTGAGGCTATTCAAAAATTCTGTGGGATAGTTGGTCACATCATCACCATCTTCACATTCTACGTCATCCACACTTGTGTACATTATTTCTTTGCCAGGTAGACGTTGAAGAACTTCTTCATTCACCAGGAGAGAATGTTCATTTTTGGGACAGAGTATTGTTCTGTTGCATAGAGTTGGAATGTCATTGATGGAATTCACCATTGCCAAGTTTAATTAACCACTTTGAGAATTCTTCTTCACCTCGTCCTGTTCACGTAGGTGAAGCTAGCCTCATATTCGAGTAAATCCAGCCAAGATTCGGCGCCAAAGCTGCCCTAGCTGCGCCAGACAGCGCTAGTATACAACTCGACGAGCTCTATCCATTGGTGACTTTGGATTTTTTCTAGCTTGAACCATTCGTGCAAAAATCCCAAAATCCTAGGTTTTTCCTAGGCAAATTTTAGCATATGGATAGTAAATCCAGCCAAGATTCGGCGCCAAAGCTGCCCAAGCTGCGCCAGATAGCGCCAGTATACAACTCGACGAGCTCTATCCATTGGTGACTTTGAATTTTTTCTAGCTTGAACCATTCGTGCAAAAATCGCAAAATCCTAGGTTTTTCCTAGGCTAATCTTATCATATGGTTGATAAACCCAGCCGACATTCTTCCAGGAAGCTGCTCCAGACAGTTCCACAATAGAACTCGAGGAATTCTCTCGATTGGTAACGTTCGATTCTCCATAGCGGAAACTATTTGTGAAAAAATTCGAAAATACTAATTTATTAGCATATGACTCCTATCAATTGGTTTCTAAAATCAGCCGATATTCTTGTAGGAAGCTGCGCCAGCTGCTCCAGAGAGTTCCAAATTAGAACTTGATGAGCTCTCTCGATTGGAATAAGTAGATTTTCCATAGCTCTAAGTATGTGTTCTAAAATGCGAAAACATCGGTTAAATATGACAGGTTATATAGTAAAACTATCAGGGATTCCTTCAGCAATATGTTCCAGGTCTTCCATCTGTGTTCCAATTACAACTAGATGAGCTCTGTTCAATGCTGTAATCAGATATTTCATAGCTCAAACAATAGTCGTAAAAATCTGAAATTACTTTTATTTCGCTACTGAAACTAGGAGCCCAGTAAAGTAAAAGTACTATCGATTCACCCAGCAAGATGTTTCAGGTGTTCTATTCGTGTTCGAAGTAGAATTCGATGAGCTGTATTCTGGCGCTGTCTGGCACAGCTGGGGCAGCTTTGGCGCCGAATCTTGGCTGGATTTACTATCCATATGCTAAAATTTGCCTAGGAAAAACCTAGGATTTTGGGATTTTTGCACGAATCGTTCAAGCTAGAAAAAATCCAAAGTCACCAATGGATAGAGCTCGTCGAGTTGTATACTGGCGCTGTCTGGCGCAGCTAGGGCAGCTTTGGCGCCGTATCTTGGCTGGATTTACTATCCATATGCTAAAATTTGCCTAGGAAAAACCTAGGATTTTGCGATTTTTGCACGAATGGTTCAAGCTAGAAAAAATTCAAAGTCACGAATGGATAGAGCTCGTCGAGTTGTATACTGGCGCTCTCTGGCGCAGCTGGGGCAGCTTTGGCGCCGAATCTTGGCTGGATTTACTCGAATATGAGGCTAACTTCACCTACGTGTCCTGTTCTCATATTCTGGTTAAGATGCATGACGTTGAAATAAGACCAAAGATCAGAATTTTTAGACTTGTTGCAATCAAGTCTGATCTATTTGCGAATCGAATTAC